CCTCCATGTCACCCTCGGACGTCCAACTCGTCGCTTCCCATGGGGATTCCACTCGAGGGCCTGACGCGTGATGTCCTCAGTCGGCCTTCTCAGTGCATGGCCAATCCATCTCCACTTCTTCCTGCATATTTGTTGCGTGATAGGTTCTTGGTTGGTTCGTTCCCAGAGTTCCTTGTTGCTTATTTTTTCTGGCCATCTGATCTTCAGCAGCGAGCGTAAGCAGTTGTTGATGAATGTCTGTAGTTTATTGGAAATACCTTTCGTGACGCGCCAAGTCTCTGAGCCATACAAGAGCACTGACTTGACGTTGGTGTTGAAAATCCGTATCTTGTTCCGCATGCTGAGTGCAGAAGATCTCCACACTGGTTTCAGGCTAATGAACGCCTGTCTTGCTTTTCCGATTCTGACTTTGACGTCCTCGTCCGTCCCGCCTGTAGTTGAAACAGTGCTTCCTAGATAAGTGAAGGAGGTTACTTCCTTCAAGTTTCTCCCGTTGACGGTGATTGGAGTTTGTTGTTGTTGATGGTGGTGGTGCGGTATCTTCATCACTTCTGTCTTCTCTATATTCACCTGAAGTCCCGTCTTCGCTGCCTCTTCTATCAACTTGTTAGTTTTTGCCTGCAGATCTTCAAGTTTATGTGACATTAGGCATAAGTCATCGGCGAAATCCAAGTCTTCTAGGTTCTTTTCCGTCGTCCAGTGTATCCCCCTCTTCTCGCTGCCTACTGTTTGCTGCATGATCCAGTCCACCACAATAAGGAATATCATGGGGGATAGTAGGCAACCTTGTTTCACTCCTGTCTTCACTTCAAAGGCATCACTGAGCTTCCCATTGTGGATTACTTGGCATGTGGCATCTTCATATAGTTGTTGAATGAGGCGGATAAAGGTTTGCGGTACTCCGTAGTATTGAAGCAGTTTCCAAATTACTTCTCGGTCGACGCTGTCAAAGGCCTTCTCAAAGTCGATGAAGTTGAGGTGGAGAGGTGATTGCCATTCTATGCTCTGTTCTATGATGATACGAAGCGTTGCAATTTGGTCTGCACATGATTTGTACTTCCTGAAGCCTGCCTGTTCCGGTCGCAGTTTTGAATCCAGTGCATCTTTAAGCCTCTCCAGGATGATGCGGCTTAATATTTTACTTGGGGTGGACAGGAGAGTGATTCCGCGCCAGTTCTTGCAAGCACTGAGGTCTCCCTTCTTCGGCAGTTTGACAAGGTAACCCTTCTTCCAATCGTCAGGTACCTTCTCTTCCTTCCACACCTTCTGCAATAGTGGTGTGAGCATGTCCGCTGTTGTCTCTGCATCTGTTCTCAGTGCTTCTGGCGGTATTCCATCTGGTCCTGCTGCTTTCCCGCATTTCAGTAGCTTTATGGCGTTCAGGACTTCCATTTTCGTTGGGGGATTAATGTTCACTTGTAGTTCAGCGGCTGCAGGTGGTATTTCTGGACGAAGTGCAGGTGGTGGTCGATTCAAGAGCTTCTTGAAGTGGTCGGCCCATCGTTTCCTCTGTTTCTCTTCTTTTGTAATTAAATTTCCTTCTTCATCTTTTATTGGTTTCATCTGTGTTGGTCTCTTCCCTGATAGCAACCTGGTTATTTGATACAATGTCGTCAGGTCTCTCTTACCTGCAGCCTGTTCTGCTTCACTTGCCAGTGTTTCGTAGAAGTGTCTTTTGTCTTTGCGTGCACTCTTCTTCACTTCTTTGTCCAGTGTTTTATACATTGTGCTCAGTTCCTCTTGTCGTTGAGCATCCTTGCACTGGTTTATCTTCTGCTTCACCATCCTCCTCTCCTCTATCAGCTTCCAGGTATCCGTCGAGATCCATTCCTTGTCTTCTTTCTTCTTCCTTCCTAATACTGTTGTGCAGGTTTCTTTCCACATAGCTTTCAAAGACTTCCAGTGTTCTTCCACACAGGTTTCTTCAGGGATGTTGCTCGATGTCTCCCATTTTGTCTTGATGGCTGCCTTGAAGATCTCCTTTGTAGTTTCATCCTTCAGTTTCCGAGTGTTGTACTTGAATTGAGGTCTATCACCAGCTTCCTTGAAGGCTTTTAACTTGATTTGGAAGGTTCCTTGCACTAGGTAGTGGTCTGAACCTACATCTGCTCCTCTTCTTGACCTTGTGTTAAGTAGACTGCGTCTCCATTTTCTTGAGATTGAGATAAAGTCGATTTGATTTTTAGTGTGTCCATCTGGTGAAATCCATGTCGCTTTGTGGATATCTTTGTGCCTGAACACACTGCCTCCAATCACCAAATCGTTGAATGCGCAGAATTCTGCAAACAATTCTCCATTCTCATTCATTTCACCTAGTGCCTCTCGACCCATGGTTAGTTCTCTTCCCGTGTTGTCCCCTCCCAGTTTGGCATTCATGTCGCCCATTAGAATTTTGATATCGCCAACTGACGTCTTGTCCAGTGTTGATTGAAGTTGTCTGTAGAAATCCTCCTTTTTCTCTTGCTCTGCATTATTTGTAGGTGCATAACATTGTATGATTGTGACCTTTCTTCCTTTTGAGTTGAATCTTGCTGTCATGATCCTGGAGGAGATTGGTTCCCACTGCATGAGAGCCTTCGATGCTCTTGAGGACATCATGATAGCCACTCCCTCAGTGTGCTCGTGGTTGGCGTCTGGGTGACCGGAGTAGATTATTGATTCTCCAGTTGACAGTTTGGAGAGTCCACTCCCATTCCATCTGCTTTCGCAAATCCCAAGCACTTCGATGTTATACCTTCTCATCTCCCTTGCAATCTGGGCTGCCTTACTGGGTTCAAACATCGTGCGGACATTCCATGTCCCCACGTTTACTTTCGCTTTCATCGAGAGAAGACACATCGGCCAATTGGCTTCCCGAAGGCTTTCACCAACTGGCGTCATTTCGCCTCTCCGATTCCAGCGGGGAATAAGTTTGTTTTCATTTTTTATATTTTGTTTGTGCTTTGAAGTTTCTTTAGCGGTTAGATTTGTTTTACGGGGTAGGGTTGCTAGCCCTATGCCCAACCTTCCCTCTTTACCCGGGCTTAGGACCGGCTAGTAACTAGTAAACTAGTTAACCAGGCGAGGCGTCTGCCTCCTAAATATGATTATGAGCAATAATAATTTATGCTCGAAACGTCATCAAGTAAATAATACTAGATCACTGTGTTATAAATCAAATAAACAAATCTAATATGGAATTAATTTCTATCACAGTGCCGGAGTTTTACACCTATATTAATACAAAGCGGCTTACTGACGCACGCTTAAACATGTTACTTAGGTAACATTTCCACATAGAGGTTCATAGGCTACTTCTCTTTTGATGAGATGTCCACATGTATGTGACTGATTATTATTTCAGATTGGGTTTAGTTTGGTCTCTGAGACTAATTGCAGCAACATAGTGTGCATACCTCTTAAAACCACACAAGTATATACTGTTTACGGTCTGTGATCACTGTAGTACTTAGCAGTTACGTTATTCAGATCAATTAACGCCATTTTTCAGCCTTTCCAGCTTGAAATTGTTAAGACATCATAAAATACACAGTAACTGTAGTCAGAGAGTTGCCCATTTCTAGCAGAATAAAATACAAACGAATTTATGTAATGAACGCAGATGTTTCTCCACCAATAGCACGCTAGCCAAGTGACCTAGGAGTGCGTCGGTACCTTACATACGTTGTATACCCCCAATCTATTTCCCATATTTAATGCGTTTAGAGTGCATCTGTCACGCTACGTGAGTCAATCAGTGTTATAGTACACTCTATTTGATAATATTGTATACATGGCTAGTTCTAGCACCACAATTTCAGTTTATGAATATATATATATATATATATATATATATATATATATAAGCAGGGCGAAGAAAAGAGATACTAATTAGAATGATATTTTATTGGTTGATTGCAGTGCTTTGGAATAAGCTTTTCTAAAATTTAGTCTAAACAGATACCAATACATTTGCTTTCTTTGGCAGTATACTGCTTATAGAAGCTTATACACTTGTATTAATGAATTTCAGTTAATTAAAGAAGCAAATCATTTCAACATGAAGCTAAACTTTGTCGTAAACTTGGCTTTAAAGGACCTCATAAATACTGACCAACAAATATGAAATGTAATTTACTCGGTTCTGGCTACCAGATGAATCCAAGAATCGCGTTTCGTCCTATTCGGGAACTCATCAGCTGGATGCACCTGTGCCTCACTGGATGATGTTGTTCCCAACGAGACAGACGAATTCCCAAATAGGACAAAACACGCGTCCTGAATTTCTCTGGTAACCACAATCAAGTTAGTTATCATAATCAATATTCAGGCAGTTTCGAGCCATTCGCATAGGAGCCCATATGCCAATAGAAGTCAAACAATTTGATCCAGTAAAACAACGGAGAATTACAAGCATATCAACAAATAGTAATCAATATAAAAAGTCTTTGAAATAAGTAAGTACAAAGCTATTCTTTGTTTGCTCAATGATCACTCCTAATCTCTGGTCACATGGTGATTGATGCAAAAATTATAAAATAATTAGAGATATTGCAACCGTTGATCATAGCTTGATAATCAAATCAATTTAAACATATATATATATATATACATATATATATATATATATATATATATATATATATATATACCCTCAATAAGTTTCATTTCTACAGTTGATTACTATGGTGATCTGCAAAACTCTCCCGAAGTCAACATATTCTGATGTTTTTAGTACACAATTGTACTAGATTACTTTGATAGATAGGTTATTGTGTATATCCCTTGGAAATGAACATTTACTCAAAAAAACTTGTTCATAGAAGTTTAACTATACTGATGCATATGGGTTACTATGATAGCGCCAAGGTCAATGCACTATGTTAGCCAATCGTATGTTTGAGGCATCAAGACCAATCAGAAAAGAGGAAGTTTATTTTATACAATTAAATCATGTTAGTTAGTCAAACAGGAAAACGATTTTGGGGAAAAAAACGATAGAAAGTGATAATTTATCTTACTAATTGTTGTATTTAGCCACAGAGTGCAACGGTCAAATAGATCTATCAAAAAAATTAAATTAGTTTAACTATGCAGTGATACAATAGAAATATTTTCATGACAGTGGGTGGTCAACGTTGTAAGAGTAGAAAATAATCGAATCGCACTCAGCGACCTCATGCGTATTCATGCAATAGACACTGAGCTACACCTATTGCATTCAAAGCGAACGGTACTACTTGACTATCCAGATATCCGTAGGTTGAGTGGGGTTTAAATTCATGGTCCATTAGTTGGATGTCAAGTGCTCATACCAATCAACGATAGATCCACACAGGTTTGAACACCACTCTATCTACCGATATCTGAGCAACAAAGCATAATCGTTAGCCCTCTGACAATACGTGCGGTTGGTTGCCTACTGCATACGGTTGCTGATTGCATTTCGACCTTAAAAAGTGGAAAACACCTCTGCCAAATTCTTCAGTAGGATAAAGTACTCATGGGCAGTGGCTAGCAGTGGAATCCAGGACACGCTACGTGGACGTATTCTTTAGATTGACTTGAAATTTTACTGGGAATTCTCTGGATAAAGTACTGTTAAATATTTAGACAGCTTCAAGTGGATAGTGACGCCCGTTGGAAGTGCATAAATAGCGAAATTTTCGTTCTGTGATAGAAAGCCGTGTTAGCGTTCCTAGTCTATTAAGCTTTTGCGTTGGACACACACACCTGCATGCTGACAGTCAGAATTTCAAGGATGTAATAAGATCTATTCTCAATAGTCTCTTAACATTCGTCATTGTGAGACAAAGCGAAGAATTGATAGACTGTATGAATGTGTTAAATATATGTATGCCTTCATGAGTCTTCTTGTGAAAAAAAAACCAGTTTTAGTCGGGCTGAACACATGGAAACATATATAAGCAAGAAAAGCGATACTGTGGAATCCACCTCACATATTTACATTCAAAACTTAAGGGATAAATTATAAAATATTTCGTTTGTTGCTCTTATTCAAATAACATATACTCAGAAAAACAATATGAGAAGCTCAAATTTTCATGATATTTATTCTACACTAGGATGAAAGCCTTGGTTTTCGTTCTGTAAAGAACTAGTTTATCGGTATGACAATAAACTACGGTCAAATTTAAAAAAAATTAGATTGTATTCTGCATTTGATGATGGATACGGTATGAATGATGATTCTTCATCGTTATCTATCTTGATATCTAAGAATCATCAGATACATTCATAACATAGTTTAAATCATCTTGTAAACTGATGAATACGAACTAAGTCTAATTTGAGTCTATCTGAAGTAAAGAAGAGCGTGTCATGTTGCTAGGGTCAATATATAAATGATTATTATGCAGTAGCAACTATTATTTAATATCCTTTATCTAGGTGTGACGGCTTAGAAATCATAAACCTTAATATTCATCTTTTGAGGACTCATCATGAGAAGAAAATAATGTTCCCTGAGTAATTTAAAAGGATTTTTTTATGAATACATAAGGGAAAGAAACTTCAGCTTTCGATTTCTTGCAAATCGTCATCAAAGAGCCAGTATAAAACATATAGCTTTATTAACAAACTTTTATCAGGGTTCAGAACGACGGTATATGTGTTATCGGCATAGAACTGTGACTCAGTGACCTAGATAGCCAATTCTTAAGCATGCTTAAGCATACTCAGGTTCCACTCTATTTGATCTAGTCAAGGCAACTCAGTGGAAGACTATTTTTTAGCTTAAAAAAACTTTCTGTCGCAGAATTGATCCCTAATAAGATCAACCAGCAAATGTACAAAATACAGGCTTTTTCACTCAGTGTTCAGTCTTACTGAGTGACTATAATCTTCCTCAAAAATTTAAACTCATGATTTTACGCACGAAAGCTTCGAAAAACTTATTCACTGTTTTTATCACTCTTAAAATGGGATTATGTATGCTTTAATATTATTGTTGTTATTTGTCCCTTGGGCTCCTAATGGCATATTGGGCTTCAGTAGCACGTCTACAATGCGCTCTCCTCTCTGAAATCTTTTGAACCTCGCTCCACAACTGTCCACAAACTCTCATTTCTTCCTCACACAATCTACTCCTCCATGTCATCCTCTGCTCAGACGCCCAACTCATAGCTTCCCATCTGGGTTCCACTCGATGACCTGGTCTGGTGCCTGATGTCCCCAGTCGGCCTTCTCACTGTATGCCCAATCCATCTCCACTTCCTTCCAGTGCATATTTGTTGAGAGATAGCTTCTTGCTTCGTTGGTTCGTTCTCAGACAAGAGTAACATGCCAAAACTCTGAACCATATATAAACACTGACTTGATATGAGGTTGAAAATCCGGATCTTGTTCACTCTTTATGCTGAGTGCAGTGGATCTCCATACTGGTTTCAGGTTAATGAACGCCTGTCTTGCTGTTGTTCCGATCCTGGTTGACTTTGACGTCCTCGTCTGTGCCATCTGTGGTTGAAAGGATGCTGCCTAGATAGGTTTAGGTGGAAGAGACTACTTTCTTCGAGTTTCTCCCGTTGATGGTGTTTGGAGCTTGTTGTTGTTATTGGTGGTGTTGGTTGGGTATCTTCATCACCTCTGTCTTCTCTACATTCACTTGAATTCCCATCTTCTTTCTCTGCCTTGCATCTTCTGTCAACTTGTTAGTTTTTGCCTGTAGATCTTCGAGTTTGTGTGACATTAGACACAAGTCATCGGCGAAATCAAAGTCTTCTAGGTTCTTTTCTATGTTCACTAATCTCTTGTCTAAGGGTGTCTGAAAGATAAATTTATGAGAGAAAGGCGTCCTCTAGCTAATTACTCCTTCAATTGAGTTGAGAAATCTTCTAATTCAACGTTTGCCTCCTGGAATCACTATCTGGATGCAGAAAAGAGTTAGAAAGGAGGTTATATGGTATTCAGTGTTTTCAGTGTCAATCATTTGTTGGATATTCTGCATTGCCTAACTACTGTAACAGAATGCTTAGTAATTCTTGAGATCCATTATCAAGAAGTTTATTTTAGTCTAAAAATAGCTACAAAAGTTATGGCACCAAGAGTAAATTCCTTCTTCAAATGATTTAAAAATCGATAAATCAGTGTAAAAAATAAGTAAATGATAGCATTAAGCAAATGCAGTTTACCTGATGATAGTCTTGGACTTAACCTTCCTATATTCTGTTGATTAACACACAGTCTTGCCTGACTGTAAGCGAATTGGGCCTCTTTTTCACAACGTTCAGTGACAGGACCAGTCAATCCTGAAGTTGGTGATACTGGATCAAAACTGTTGGATATTAGATTTTCCTTATTTGCTCTGTAATAGGCTGAGGTTTTATCTGGTAGAGATTGTTGTTCATAGGAGTGTTCACTTGGTGTTCTTTGATCAGAGGACGTAATCAAAGTTTTCGTCATAGAATCAGATCTCTTATCAATTGTAGGCAAAATAGACGTGATCACGGAACCACGATGTCCTTCAGTATAAGTCTGTGAAGGTGCTGCTGGGGAATCACGGTACTGATCATCTAAACGTTTCTGCATTTGAGCAATCCTACTGTTCCACTGACGTTTAAGTTCTTCAAAGTTTTCTTTAGACTGTGGGTTACTTATTATGGCTTTATTCTTTCCAGGTGGTTCAGCTCGTCCGATTATAGGTGCTTGTTCTCTAGATTGACTTGAAATTTTACTGGGAATTCTCTGCGGTTTAGGGGAAGAACGTTTCTCCGGTAAGTTGGAAGTTCTCGGAGATGAGGATGATGGTGATTTAGGTGGTGGTGTTGGTGGAGGAGGGTGTGGAGATAATGGTTTCGTGTCAGAAATATGTTCACCACTGTCTCTAATGTCTAGTTCTTCATAAACTTTAACACTTTCAGGCAAAATATTGATACCTGGAAAATTTTTACTCTCCTCTTTATCATTTTCATCGATTTCTTCCTGAACGAGTACAATCTCTCGTTTACGTCGTCTACTTTCAGAGCGTTCAAAGTTGGAGCGATTTGGTCTTCTTGAGGTGTATTCAGGTCCCATGTATCCCAAAAGTTCAGCATCATGGGATTCTGTGGAAGCCAGTAAAATGGAAGCCCAATAATCAGTTTCTAAATAATCGCATATTCTTTCACTTTTGGCTACTTTCAGATTGTCCGAATTATTTGCTACGCACAAACTGAGTGTAACTTGAGCCAATCCTTCTTCGGTCATGAACGCCTCTTGACGAACAATACCAACTGTCTGTTTATCAGGCAGCACAAAAGCAGACTGATATTCACGCTTAATCTTCTTACCAATATATGCAATTGATGAGGAGGAATCTGTTTGCAATGAACGGAAGCTTGGCTCTCTAATGGGGATGTTCCATCACCAACACGATCCCCAACTGAAACACTAGCCCGTAGATTATCATCTGAGGGTATTCTTGATGACTGGTTGGAAAATATCAGAACCGATGGACTTTTGTTTTCATCTAGGACAACTGACATTAAAGAGCCAAGACTTCGTGACAGGCTGTTATATCGGCTATCTTGCCGACGTAGACTTGTAGCTGTCCAAACTGCAGTCATTCTATTGGTATTGAAGAATCTACTACACGCTAAGCGTACTCCAGTTCAGGACCTCATTCTTTCATCCGACCGAACGAACACCCTGGGGAAAAGAAATTACAGTAGTGAGTTATTTTTAAAATGGGAGAAAAGTTGACCTAAAACTTGGCCTGACGAGCTAAGTATACACTGGTTTACTGGTGAAAAATAATGGAATACATATTTTAAATACTTCTACTGACTAATTCTAAATAATTTAGAGACATAATGAAGAAAATAACTCCAGGATGTTTGTTTGAAATCCAGGACGCTCGTTTTGTCCTATTTGGGACTCAAACATTGGTTTGATGCATTTGCACCTTAGTGAGTGAATTTTCTCCCATCGCTTCAAACGCTAAAGGATTGTCCACCTGTCATGATAGACACCTTTCGTGCAGCGGGTATCAGTTTTTGTTTTGATGTTTGTAATTCCCCATTGCTATGCATGGCCAAATTGCTCAATCTCTGTACAAAAAGCCAGTGGGTGAGTACAAAACGGAAGGTCTCATACTGTAAATCAAAAGCAGCAACTTACATGAGGTGGAAAAATTAGGTATCATAACTCGGTGGTCTAAAGAACAACACTTTGACAACTAAGTTGAGCAATACAGTCTTCCAGTCTCATCAGGAAAACCAGCATCAATCCAGTTATATTCAACTGAGCACTATGAAGTTGGACAGACCATGGATTCTAGATTCTACTGTTAGCTGGTACCAATTAAGTAGCAGAAATTCAATTCGTCAATTGTGCTGGTAATCAGACATTCAACATTAAAAGTTAACTGGTCGAATCAGGAAGTAGGAGTCATATTTTTATGCCATGAGTCAAGCAACCTGGGAGAACAGAAGCTGATGGATTTTTAAGTCAGTGAAATTCAAATGGTTACGAAACACCAGGGACTTTATACGGTTATATGTCTTTTGTGAATCATCTTTTGATCTTAAACTGGGTTGTTTGGCATCATTAAGAACAAAATACGAAACATCCAGTTGGATCAGAAGGCTTAAAGTCATTGACTTCGTTTATAATTTTGACATTTAGTGAAATTGAATTTTATATTTCTAGAAAGCATCTCTCACACAGATTAAATAGCTACTCTCTTAGAGTTGAGCATAATGTTGTTGGCACTGGTTGTAATAATCTGTAGGCAATAGGCTTATAGTAGCTAAGCTTAAAGAATCTTCAGTGCACCAAATGAAATGGTAGCTGGACTCATATATTGCCGATCAGTTCTAGTGAGAGGTAGAAGAAATAGCCTGATGCACATTATTTTTGAATAGCCATCAGACTATATATTGAAACAGTCTTTAGAATAACCAATTCTCATACCTTATAGCGACAGGGACCTAGTTGGATAACGGACAGATAACAACTTTGACCTCAACTCAGTCCATATGGCATCATATGGAAGATGGGCCTTCCGAATGGAAAGATTTACTGCAGCATTGGATAACATAAGTTACGTTTGTTTTTGTAAAATGATTTCCGACATGAATTTTTAAATCACTGGACAAGTGTAGTCAATGGTAGAGAATGATACGCAAGAACGTGTGGAGCTCCAAAGACTTTTATAATCTCGAATTGAATCAAAGTGCACTTAGTAACCTTGTTTACGTTCTTCCAGTATGCAATGAGCCAAACCTATGATGCGAGAGCTAATGATACTAACTGGGTACCCAAACATCGGTAGACAGAGCGCTGTTCGAACACGTAATCCATTCGTTGAAAGTCAACTCTCACCTAAGCTAACAAGCCATAGCTCCACTCTATTAGAATCTACCAGCGATTAGTAGATTAAATTTAGCCAATGTACGATTTAGCCTCATGGCTGTGAATATGATGAATTACGCCAGACTATTTTAGAGAGAAAACGGAATACGTAGATGTGTGGAATAAACTGTACAAATGACGTCGTATTATGACTGAATATAAGTGTCTTGTGCAACATTTCGTTATTAGGAGTTTATTTTTGGGGTAAATTCCACTTATAGCAGGATTTTGCTATCCACTTGTAGAATGTTTAGCAATCTTAATGTCAGCCCATGTTTCAGATCACTTTTGACCCCTAAAGATCTTAAACAAACCGGCTTTTCTTAGATGACACCGTTCATCAGCATAGTCAAAGTCTAGTGGCCTAGTGGAAAACGCTTTGGCGTTTGAAACGATGGATAAAAAGTTCGAGTCTCAGCGGGAACAACATTACTCACTACATTGCAGGTAAATCCAGCCGACCTATGGGTCCAAATGGGATCAAACGCGCTCCCTGGATTCCAATGCGAGCTAATAAGATGAATGTCACAGCATGAATATCCCTCGAGGAGCCCAACAAAGGTCCAGCAATTCAGCCAACGGGAAGTTACAGTATCAAAAGCAACAGCAGATATCCATTACACAACAGGTGGATATTGTGACTCATTGGTCCAGTGGATAACGCCCTGGCATTTGAAGCGATGGGTACTGTTGAAGTCTCAGTGGGGAAAAAATTACTCACCGGGATGCAGATACATCCATCTAACGGGCCTTGAATAGGATGAAACAGGCGTCTGGATTCCACTACTGGTTACCAAGATGAATATAAGTAAAAAGATTTTACCACGATACTTTTCCAAAAAGGTTAGATCATTTTCGAAAGAGTTAAGTCATACTAAGCCTTAGGTATCATTATGAATCTCAACCATTGTATTATTATTATTATTTGTTCCTTGGGTTCATAATGGAAAATAGGGCTTCAGTAGCACGTCTACAATGCGCTCTCCTCTCTGAAATCTTTTGAACCTCGCTCCACAACTGCCCACAAACTCTCACTTCTTCCTCACACAATCTACTCCTCCATGTCACCCTCTGCTCAGACGCCCAACTCATAGCTTCCCATCTGGGTTCCACTCGATGACCTGGTCTGGTGCCTGATGTCCCCAGTCGGCCTTCTCAGTGTATGCCCAATCCATCTCCACTTCCTTCCAGTGCATATTTGTTGAGAGATAGCTTCTTGCTTCGTTGGTTCGTTCTCAGACGAGAGTTCGTTGTTGCTCATTCTTATTATTCTGCCATCTGATCTTCAGTAACGAGCCAGCGTAGGTGGCAGTTGTTGATGAGTGTCTGTAGTTTGTTGGAAGTGCTTTTCGTGATGCCCCAAGTTTCTGTACCATACAGGAACACTGCCTTGACATTAGTGTTGAAAATTCTGATCTTGTTCATGCTTTATGCTGAGTGGAGAAGATCTGCACACTGGTTTCAGGTTAATGAATGCCTGTCTTGCCGTTGTTCCGATCCTGGCTGACTTTGACGTCCTCGCCTGTGCCATCTGTAGTTGAAACGATGCTGCCTAGATAGGTTTAGGTGGAAGAGACTACTTTCTTCAAGTTTCTTCCGTTGATGGTGTTTGGAGCTTGTTGTTGTTGTTGTTGTGGTGTTGGTTGGGTATCTTCATCACCTCTGTCTTCTCTACATTCACTTGAAGTCCCGTCTTCTTTCTCTGCTTGCGTCTTCTGTCAACTTGTTGGTTTTCGTCTGTAGATCTTCGAGTTTGTGTGACATTAGACACAAGTCATTGACAAAATCCAAATCTTCTAGGTTCTTTTCCCCGGTCCAGCCACCGTATCCGCCTCTTCTCCTTCCTCACTGTTTGTTGCATGATCCAGTCCACCACAATCAGAATGATCATAGGGGATAGTAGACAACCTTGTTTCACTTCTGTCTTCACTTCAAAGGCATCACTGAGCTTCCCATTGTGAATTACTTGGCATGTGGCGTCTTCATATAGTTGTTGAATGAGGCTAATAAAGGTTTGTGGTATTCCGTAGTATTGAAGCAGTTTCTAAATTACCTCTCGGTAGACGCTGTCGAAGGTCATTTCAAAGTGGACGAAGTTGAGGTGTGGAGTTGACTTCCATTCTATACTCTGTTCTTTGATGATGTGAAGCGTTGCAATTTGGTTCGCACATGATTTTCACTTCCTGAAGCCTGCCTGTTCCTGTCGTAGTTTTGAATCCAGTGCATCCTTTAGTCTCTCCATTGTATGACCCTAAAAATAAACTAGCAAATAAAAAACTGATGATTACAGGTTCAGTTATATTGGTGTTGAGAAGACTCATTTTTAATCCAATTCACTTAAGAATGAAACTAATGATCACTGTTCTACATTTTCAAATTGGTTTTGCTCATGATAAAAAGTGTTCTGAAACTGGGATGTATCCATAAAAATCGCCAATCAAATGAAATTGAACCAGGTTTTCACCCAATTTCATGTCATTAGATTGCAGAAATTAAATTTTGACAGACTGAAGTCATCCAAGATAGTCTTATCAACAATAAAGAAACTTGGTGGTTTGTTGGTTCGATCGTTAGCGGGGTTACGAACACACACTCTTGAGGACTACCATACTAGGATGAAACAGGTGTCCAGTGTTCCCAGGTTTTCGATGATTCTCCAACTGGTGTCATTCTGTAGTGTTTAGCACGCGAAACTAGGTAACCTTGTTTTAAATAGTCATTGAATCTTTAAATAGATCCAAATATTTGAGTAGTATCTATAGTTACTGTTTCACTACAAAACCTACTTATCTAAACAATAGGTACCTAGATAATCAGTTTAAACCTACTGTTCAGTTAGTTAAAGTTTATTT